AGGCTAAAACAATCTCACAGTGAGCTTAAGGAGGTCACGAGGAGGCTCGGAGTGCCTCGTTTGAACAAAATGGATATCGGGATCACTGGTTTCGAGTTTGGCCGAATTTGAGGAATTTTGGAAGGTATGATCTTGTTGTTTTTAAGGTTTAAAAACCTTCCAACGTGATAGTACATGTTAAATGCTTCATTTTGGTGTAAAATTCGAAGAAATTGGACGAAAAACGAAGGCGATTAGTGAATTTGAAAAATTACCCAGTTTCCGGCGCCGGCGACGGTCGCCGGAGCTGAAGGTTGAAGGTGACGGAATATTCCGTCAAGTTTGACGGAATATTCTGACGCCGTTAGTCAGTTTTAACGGAAACCGTTAGTTTTTAACGGAATATACTAGGATTTGACGGAATATTCCCTAACGCCGTTCATTGTAGCCGTCAGTGTGCATGTCACGTGGCCGCGCGTGGGGGGCGCGTAGGTCCGTGCCACGTCAGGCGCGTGGGGGCGCGTGAGACCTCCAAAAATTATTTTAAAAATATGGGGATGATCCTGAGGTTGTGTAGGTCACGGTGGTATATTCATAAACCCAAATTGAGCAATATATGAGGAGTTATTAACTAAGTTTTGGGTTAGGCGTTAAATAACGTCAAAATGGTTACTTTTGTATAGGTGAGGTTTATGCGGGCATCGGGCATGGCCAAGGGATGCTCAGGGACTTACGAGACGTCGATGTAATCTGTGAGTGGGCAGTTTTGTTTTCCGTATATATATATATATACTTGACGTTTTCCCAGAAATTGAATTAGAATGAAATTATGTTTTAAACGAAAGGTATATAGAATTATATGAAAACGTGAATCGAAAGGTCATGCATAGAAGTATATGAAATATATATGGAAATGTAAATCGAATTGCCATGCATGAAATGATATGAATCAAATGATATGAATTGATATATGATGCATATGTATGAATTGGTGCGGCGGACGCACAGGTGAGTATCAGGTGAGTATTTAATTACTGTTATGATGATGATGATATATATTGAGCTCAAATCCTGCACCATGGTTTAGTGCTTATAGTATTCACCGCATCGCACGCTCGCCTTGGATCCAAGTAGATGCTGGTCGCACAGTCCACGCGGAGTGGGTGCAACGGGCCAGTCGAAGAGTGTTAGTGAGATTTCGACTGGTGGGTGACCTTAGGTTATGTGCACAGATGATTGATGAGAGAAGCACTAGAGCGTAACTTGTGTGCAGAAGGCCGGACGGGTCACAGAGGTGACTCCGGCAGAGTGAGAGTGATAGATTTTGAGCTCTAGGTTCAACCGTGCAGGGCTATTAGAGGGCCTCCGGTTGATTACTTTCTTGCACCTGATATGATTATTGTTGATGCATCCATACTTAATTGTTGAATTAGACATGGCATGACATGATTGATAAAGAAAAATGTTGAGATAGTAAAAATGAAGTTTTGAGAATATATATGTATATTTATATTTTACATTTCTGGGAAAGTATACAGGTTTTACGGAGAGGGGTTACAACGTTTTGAGAAATGTTTGGATTTGGAAAAGAATTGTTTTACTGACCCACTCAATTTTGGTTTTGCGCCCCTCCAGGTTCAGGAATCACAAAGGTGTGGTGACTACGAGGAATTCGACGGTGTTCTGACAGATTGGACAAAATTAGGACTCACCTTCGGGTGTATCAACTTATAAATTGTATCTTAAAGCTTCCATACTGTGCAAATGGTTACGTCACTCTCACGTGACGGCCAGCATGCCCTCCTTCGGGACGGGGTGTGTCACATAAAGTGTGCATGCAAATGCTAGTAACTAATCAAAAGAACTAATAAGTTCCTAAAAAAATTTATTTTTTAGTTCTTTCCGAGAATTACAATTCATAAAATAAATCAACACATTTACTTCGAAGTTAATAAATTAAAGGGGCTTATCACTTATGTTTGATGCCTCATGACTAATTTATCACAAGAAATAAAATAATACTTAAGCACTCGCTAAGGATTAAACTCACTTTTTGTTTTGGCCTAAAGATATTTTAACACATGTTTTATTGTTTTAAAAAATATAGACATGTGTCACTTTATACTACTATTTAGTGATATTCTTTTTTATTTGTAAGTAAGAGGTCTTAGGTTTGATTCTCGCCAAAGGTAAATTTAAACCGCATTATTGCTAGCTCATTCCTCCACTGTTTTAGTTTACATAATATCGTTTGTTTAAAAAAAAAAGCATGTTAATTCATTTTTATTGGATTTAAAAAAAAAATAGTGAGTACTCAAATTATACCCAAAAAAAGGCAAATGCTATTGTGAGGTGATCTTAACCACCACGAGATGACCTAATAATTGAAGATGAATTTCAGGCTCGTATTCCACACGGTATGTCCTAGGTTAAATTCTTAGCATTAGTGAATTATATGACGGTGGCCAATGGGAGGTTGAAATGTCTTTATGAGTCTCTCGGCCCTTGAAGGGTGGACTGCGATGACAAAGCCACCATTTGATCTCCTTTTTATAAAAAAAAAAAAAAATTGAGTTGATCTTGATGATCCAATCAAATCAGATTGTTATAAATGAGAAACGTAAGATTTTAACTTGAAATCATTTTCAATATTAAAAGGCAAAAAATTATTGAACTATTGTTAAGGAAGAATTTAATAAGCCAAACCGTACAGATACGTCAATAGCAAAAGTTGAAGAACCAAAATGCAAAAAATTACATCATACATACAAAGTTGAATATGTGATGTGGCTATATCATGGACAAAACTGTGAAACATGATGCCAAAATATATAATACAAGAAAAAAGCCCACCACAACTTAAAAAATTTAGCTGTCTTTGAATTTTTCTTTTGGGGTGTCATTTTTTATCTTTGATTTTACATCACCAAAATCTAATAGGATTTTCGCACAATACATGACCTGAATTATTAGGGATGCAAACAAACACCTTACTCAAATAAAAAAACTGTCAATTTATGAACCCAATTTTACTTTTAGTTTGGATGTGCCACCTTCATTACCTTCTATTAAAAAATTTACCCAAATTCATTATATATTGCACACACGGTTGCTTTTGTCGCCGTTCTAAGACCTACAGGCAACTTGAGATAAGTTTCGTAAATTTGACCTTAGAATATTTGGCTATCATCATCCCAATAGTTAAATAGCAATTTTGATTAAATACATATTATATTAACATAAACCGTCAAATAATGATTGTACTAAATAATATAAATAGTTTAATCAATTCCCCATTCAACACTAAAAGAATATGTATATCAAATCAAAGGAAAGGGATCATTTTCGGATCCCTTCCATTAAATCTACCAATCCAGACCTTTAAAATTTGATCAAACGGTTAAAGTTATTATAACTTTTTAAGAAGATCCTTGTTTTTAGCTGTTAAATCAAATTTCAAAAACCCAAATTGGTGGATTTGATGGAAAAAAATCCTGAGATGATCCCTTTCCCAATTCAAAGACGAATATATACATTTTAAAAACTTGGCCAGTAGGAAAGCTCGAGAACAAAATGCAAAATATTATACACAAGCTCGATATATGATCAAGATAAATTAATGCATACAAAAAACGAGGAGTCTATAAAAGTGTCTCTCAGTTTGGCAATCAAAATTTTTCATCAATTTAATCAATTTCTTGATTAAAAAAAATAACAAGAAAAAAACTGCCTCCCAAAACTAGAAAAAATTAGTTCTCCTTTTTGGGATCTCAATGGTCAATTAAGTCGTTGGTTTTACATAAACTTAAAAATCTAAACACAGCATTTTTCCTCCACAAAAATTGTAGACCACAACTTAAAAAATTTAGCTGTCTTTGAATTTTCCTTTTGGGGTGTCATTTTTCATCTTTGATTTTACATCACCAAAATCTAATAGGATTTTCGCACAATACAGGACCTGAATTATTAGGGATGCAAACAAACACCTTACTCAAATAAAAAAATTGTCAATTTATGAACCCAATTATACTTTTAGTTTGGATGTGCCACCTTCATTACCTTCTATTAAAAAATTTACCCAAATTCATTATATATTGCACTCACGACTGCTTTTGTCACCATTCTAAGACCTATGGGCAACTTAAGATAAGTTTTGTAAGATAAGTTTTGTAAATTTGACCTTAGAATATTTGGCCATCATCATCCCAATAGTTAAATAGCAATTTTGATTAAATACATATTATATTAACATAAATTGTCCGATAATGATTGTACTAAATAATATAAATAGTTTAATCAATTCCCCATTCAACACTAAAAGAGTATGTATATCAAATCAAAGGAAAGGGATCCTCTCCGGATCCCTTCCATTAAATCAACCAATCTGAATTTTTGAAATTTGATTTAACGGTTAAAGTTATTATAACTTTTTAAGAAGACTCGTGTTTTTAGCTGTTAGATCAAATTTCAAAAATCCAAATCGATGGATTTGATGTAAGAAATCCTGTGATGATCCCTTTCCCAAATCAAAGACGAATATATACATTTTAAAAACTTGGCCGGTAGGAAAGTTCGAGAACAAAATGCAAAATATTATAATACACAAGCTCGACATATGATACGGATGTATAATATGCAAAATTGTTGACAAGTATTTTAAAAGAAATATGGAAAATTAGTTGTTCAACTGATTCTACACATCTAATACCATCTCAACCCTTTAAGTTAAAAAATTTAGATTTTAACTCATAAATATTTTTTCTCGTCCAACCCTTAGTTAAATTTTTAGTTTGAGATTATTAAAGAACACGCATTTATCCTCCACAAAAATTGTGGGGCAATGTCGGTAGGGTGGGATCCACAAGAGCGTCAGCCAGATCGTCAGCAAAAGTAGCTTGAAGAAGGAAAAAGGTAGCAGTGGGTCACCTCACATATGCATTTTGTCTCGTAATAATCAGCGTGGAAAAAATAAAAACATTCATTTGAGATGGAATCCTTTTCACATCGGAAAGGCTGTGAAACTTCCCACCACTATTTTATTTATTTATTTATTTGCTCCGCGGAAAGAATTCATTAGCCATCGCCATGGTCAAAACAAGAGTGCTGCTCGACCAAACTGTCCTTTTTGCTGCTCTTCACACATAAGTCGCCTCCTTTTATCCTGTTGAATCGCCTGCGGCATCAAAAACGGAAAACCCAATCGAATTCAAGGTCCTTTCTCTCTCTCTGGACCTTCAGTTTTTTCTTTGGGTTCTTGTTTTTGGTGGTTTTGGTGGGATTTTGATGATTTTGTTCACGGGTGTATGTTAAAAGGGTTGAATTTTTTTATGCTTATGAATGATTTAATGGGTGATGATAAAAAGATTTGGGAAATGACATGTGCATGTATTTGTTTTTGAAGATTCCTTTTCATTAATCACACTCTGGTTGGTTGCTGAGAAAAGGTGGAAAAATCCAATGGGATTGAGTTTCTGCTGTGGTTCAGTTTTTGGGTTTTCTTATCGTATGAATAATTAACATAGCAATTAGCATGTTAGCTATCTGCATGTTGATTCTTGTTGTTTGCTTGATTGTTTATTTGCCTGATAGTGAAAGGTTCAATTTTACGTATTCTTTTTCTATATTTTGTCATCAACCGAATGAAGATTTATTGAGGTTGCAAGAATTTCTGAGAGTTGATTTTCTTGGTTTTATTAGAAAAAAATATTTTTTTAATTGGTTTGAATGATTGGATTTCAGTTTTATGCTCAGCTGATTATTCCCAAGTTCTTGAGGAAAATTTGTTAATTTGAAAAATTAAATTTGAGAACCTTCTATTCTCTGGATTGATAAAAATGCAAAATTGTTTAATGGAATTATGGTTTGCAGGGTTGTTGGTGATCTCAGTAGAGAGATGTCTCTGATTGGAAGAGTACACCCCGAATGTGTAAACGTAGCCAATCCCTACCATGAATGCACTGAAAATTGCTTGAGAAAGATTGCTGAAGGGAAGGGCCGGAAGTTGACGAAAAAGAAATCAGGTTAGTGTTAATTGTTCTCTTCTTAAACTACATGTTTTCTCTTAGCCCCTGCCTACATAACACCACCAAACTGATTTTTAATCTGGTTCAGGAACTATTAAAGCACTTTAGCCATACTTTCATTAACTGCAAATAAAAAAAAATGCTTCCCTACTTGAAAATCAAAGCATTCGTTTTCAATATGAATTCTGACTGGTTTTTCACGAGATGTGAATGCCCGTGTATTCATGCCATTGCTTATTGCTCATATCATTACTTGTTGGATTATCTGGTCTGTGTTTTTAAGTAAGTGATTGCCAATTGTCACTAAACTAAAAATGAAAGAAGAGAAAGAACTGGGATTTGGCGCCTACATAACTGGTTGCTTGCTTTCAGTCATATAGTTCTGTCAAATTCAATTTCCTAGCGTCTTTCATTCAAAATCCATCCGTGCAGATGTGTCTTATTTGTCTTCCTTGATAAGAAAATATCATGGCATTACAAGGTGTGGTGAATTATTGGTTCAGAGATTGTTTTCTTCCCTTGACTTATTGGTTCTGAGAATGTTTCTTCTGCAAGGGGCCTTATCTTGTAATCGTTTTCTGAGTATAGGTTGGAATTTTAGATTTTTCTTTTTTTTTTCTTCTTTCTTTTCCCAAAGATTTTGGCAGCAGCTTTAAAGATGTTGAGTACAAAAAAAAGGGGGCTGAGGACAAAAGAGCATCTAATCCTTACCATGACCCTGAATTCTACCGCCAAAGAGCCGCTGCTGCCGAACCTCGTGGGGACAAAAAAGAATCAGGTTTTTCCCCATATCCGTGTGGTGACTTCTCAATAGGCTGTGTTAAGTTAAATGTACATTTTTCCTTTCCTGAACTGCAACAAAGAAAAGCTACATAGAGTAGCAAGCGGCAAATGATTCCATCTTTCAAACAATGTTTTTTGTCTGAAAACAATTAGATGCTCTTCCCAATTCACATATTTCTTTTTTCACCATCGCTTTATTTTACCTTTCATGGCATTGCCATCCTTAATGGTGTGGAAAACCGACAGAACTTCATTCCCCTGTCCTAGGACTGCCATCAATTTATAGCCAGCCTGCAATGCTATAAACATAATTTACTTTCACCCCTGCCTTCCGTTGCCTGAGTTTCTGCACCGGAATCCAATTGTTTCATTTGAGTTTGTATGAGCTCCTGGGCAAGCGAAGCTCTTTTGTGGCTGTTCAGGGAAAAACCAGAATGTGAATTTGTTCATTCCTCTTGCACTGGCCATGCACGTAATGCTCATGGACTGTAATCCCTGTTCACTTTTTTTAATGGTCTGTTTGAATGGCAGGTTCACTGCTTGATATTCCTATATTGGGCAGAAAAAAGGAGAGATCCCGACCAAACACCTCTCAGGAGCTTGACCGAAGTGTGATTTATCATTTAGATGCTCCATCTTCTCCGTCTAAGGAAAAGGTGAAATTAGAGAACGGTAAGCATAAATCCTTCTTCACCTGACCGATAGTGAATGTGCTTATACATATCCTCTTTCCCCTGCTATAGTCAAGGGTACAGATGTAATCACACTTCTTTTTCCTAATTTATGGTGAGTTTTAACTGCAGGCTCTGTCCTTGATGATCCTATATTTGGCAGAAGAAAGCAGGGATCTCAGCCAAAGCCCTCTGAAGAGCTTGACAATGTAACTGGTCGAGGTTTAATTTATCCCTCTGATTCTCCATCTAAAGAAATAGTGCAAGTAGAGAATGGTGCGAGTGAATCTTCTTCTACCTGACGGATCGTGGATTTATTTATTCGGTCCTCTTGCACCTGCCATACACATATACACATGGATGGCAACATATTCATGCTTCTTTTTCCTAACTTATGCTCTGCTTTCATTGCAGGCTCCGCACTTGATGATCCTATATTTGGCAGACGAAGGCCTGGTTCCAGACCAAAGAGCCCTGAAGAGCTTGACAATGTACCTGATGAAATTAAGGAAAAGGTTAAAATAGGGAATGGTGAGCATAAATCTTATTCTCCACAGGCTGCTGAAGTAAAAGATGCTACCTTCAACAAGGAGCAAGTTCCGTCCTCTCTGTTAGTGCCACCATCGGGAATTCTCACAATGGTGTGCTCTCTCTCTCTATCCCTTCTCTTACACAATTGCTTTACTAATTGTGTGTTTTTTTATATCACTTTGACTCCTTTCTCATGCTATCTATCCCTCTGACAGCCTGAAAATCCCAAACACCCTCGAGAGAACGGTGCTACTTACATCGCTAGTGAACCACCAGGTTATGGGGAAGACAAAGAAAATATTCATTCCCCAGGAGTTGATTCAAATCATACTGTCAACAATGTAGAAGGCGCTACCGGATCAGCTTACGACTCAGGCCTTAGTTTCTCGGGTACTCTCCATGCTTTTGAAGATAGTGATGATGAAGATACACGATCGGTTAATTCTGAGTCCAGTGTCTCTGTGGGAAAATACCGTGTGAAAGGAAGTTTCTCTTCCATTCTCCAGTCAATCATGGAAAAATATGGTGACATAGCCTCAAGCTGTCAATTGGAATCAGTTGTCATGCGCTCTTACTATCTCGAGTGCGTATGTTATATAGTCCAAGAGTTGAAGCGAACTTCGGTTAAGCAGCTGACAAAGCCTAAAGTCAAAGAAATGTTATCTATGCTTAAGGATGTAGAATCTTCGGGAATGGATGTTGGTTGGCTCCGGTTTCTGATCAACGAGTGTGCAGAAGCCATTGAACTCATCACTCAGCATCGAGCATTCAAAGCAGCAAAGGCAAACTGCGACCGTGATATAGAATCAGCAAGGAAAGAACTTGAATCGCAAATGGAGGTTCTGGCGCTGAAAGAAAAGGAGGTTGCCGATGCCAAGAAGCAAGTCGCTGAAACGAGAGCCCACCTGAGGGAGCTCGAGCTTAAATCTTCTGTCTTGACCGAGAGTATTAGTAACATGAAGTCCAAGGTCGAAAATCTTCCAAGCAAACCTTTGTTGGACAAAGTCTTGTGAAGCAAGCAACTGCAAAAGCTGTAAAACCTGTAGTATGGGTAATGTATAAAATGTTCTGAAGGGTGAAACTGTAATCTGGTACATCCTTTTTATACTTGTAGCTGTGAAGTAAATGTAGGTTATATCGTGTCGGTTTCGCTATTTGGTAGTTGTACTAAAAATTACTTGAGGTTTCTGGGATTGTAGAACCCTACCGACATGGTGATTTGAGAATCATGTCACTTTAATATTTTGAGCTATTATTTTTTTTTTTTAAAATTTATTTATTTATTTATTATTTTTTACCTGCATCCATATGTGTGAAGTTAATATGAACACAAGGGAGCCAGAAAATAGTAGTTGAAAAATAAGGGTAAACGTATCAAAATGCATTGCCTTTTGATGTTTCTCTAATTGCAAAGTCAACTGGTTGATGGGGAACACTTGTGATTCCCTCGGCTTAGTGCTGCTGGCAGCTTTGGTGCCGGTCAATTGTAGTACATGTTGGAATCTAAAGGTAAAATGGTTTGTGATATTCAGATTTTGTTATAGTTGAAGTGGCATAACAAGTTTTCGTGTGGAAATTGTTGTGATTTCTGGCTCAAAATTAGGATGATGCAAAAATTTGGTTTGTATTACCTATTTTGTTTTGGAATCCTATTTAGGCTAGTTGTGTCCTATTTGGGTTGGGTTTTTCGTTTCCTTGTTGGATTCTTTATCCTTATAAGATAGGGATTTGATTTTATGTTTTGGATTTTACGTCCTATTAGAATTCCTGTATAAATAGGACCTTAGGGTTTGTTTTATTTTGTGTGGCTCATTCGTGTGGCAATTTGGTGATTCAATTTGTAAGTTTGTGAGTTAGAGAACAATTTGGACGAACCTTTTTCGTTTGTTTTTTGTTCTCTATTTGTTTGGTTTAAGATTTGTAATTTTTAGGATTGGGTTGTGAAAGTTAAACACTATTTTGTAGTCTCTGTTTGTTTGGTGAAATTTTTCGTCGTAATTCATCCTCAACCACGTTAAATCTCTTCGATGTTTTGAGATTGTTTGTTTCTTAGCTTTTGCCTACGACATTGTTTAATACTTTATTAGAATTCGTTTCTGCTTGTGTATAAGAGTACAATGGAAACATAATTTTTCTTCTCTACTCATGTGCATTGTAGTTGACTGTCTATTTGTATCCGTCCGATTTAGGGAATTTAGAGAATGCCATGGAAAAGCCTAGAATTATGTGGAATTGCTAATATCATCTTTATCTTAAGTGCTTAAATTAAACAAGTCCTATCCTATCAGATTGGAGATCTGATGTGATGGTTAACTAAAACTTTCAATATTCGAGTCCTGTTTAAACAAGCTTTAAAATTTCATGAATAATTGGGTTTTCCAGAAGGGTAATATAATGGACCTACAAAACTCACAAATGTTGTAGCTCTTTTGCACTGCTTTTCAATGTTTGATTGGCCCCATCCCCATCCCCATCCATCCAGATTATTCCCATTTTCTTTCTTTCTTTTTGTTTGGGCCCAAAATATTAGTTTGAGCCGAGTATAGAATCATTCTCGGCCCGGAAGGCCTTATGACAAGGGTACCATGGATCGTTTAGTGCGTGGGCCTCCAAACCTAGGTCGGTTAGGTCATGCTGCAAGACAAGTCGAGTCCTGGTGCAATAAGGAGTCTTGGCAGGATTAATAACCCGGAAGTGAATCTGGCTTGATAAAGGACTAGGTTCACAATTATAGTGAAAATAGGACTGGTCGAGTTGGTGTTTGATCAGGAGAAGAAGACCTAGTCCGAGTAGGGTTTTAACTCGACCTTAAAGGGTATCTAGTGCTATAAATAGAGGAAGCTGTGCATCATTCAAGTCCGCCAATTCAACACACAACTGCCATGCGCAAACTCTCTCAACAACTTTGAGATTTTTATTTTCTCTTTTCGCTGACACGTCTTCTGTTGGCATCAACAGCACTGTGAAAACAACCGGTGATATCTTAAGTCGGCATAAATAGCTCTGTCGCCGTAGAATCAGCCGATCTCGCAGCATCTTCCTTTGGCATCAACTGAAGGAAAATTTTTGTCCTAGCTAAGAACAAGTAAGAACATTTGAATACATATGCATACTATTAACACTTTAAAGTAGGCATGCATTCAAAAACAATTCATAAAACCCATGACTTTCAAAGCCTAGTGTATGGTGAACCAATAAACTCTTTAACAACATTAAAGAGAAGTAAAGATTTAGAGTTTCTTTACCCTTGAAGCTCATCCTTGTTTACACAAGGGATTCACCCAAGTGGAGGGCCTTCAAGTCACCTCCAAGCTCCTTGGATATTCCTTGTGATTTTCCTCCTTTTAGTGCTCCTTTGCTTCTTTGAGGATTTGAGGATTTGTTCTCCAAAACACCAAAAATTTGATGTCTCTAAGTCTCCACACCAAGGATGTATCTTGTGAAGATAATATGGATGACTTAGGGAAGAAGAGATTGCTAGATGTCCCTCCCCTAAGTGGCCGGCCTCTTTAGAGAAAAATGAGAGAAAGTGTTTCACCCAATTTCTTTTAGGAAAAACCCTTTTGAGAAATAAAGCCATAAAGTTCCTTTTATACTTCATTTCAAGTGAGTGGCAAACTTGTAATTAATCCAAGCTTGCCCATTCACCCTAATGGCCGGCCATATTAATGTTATTGGGCTATTTGCCCATTTTGTTTTAGTTGTCATACAACTTAAACATAATGGGCCTTTTGGACCAAAACGCTTTTAGGACCCGAAGCCCAAAACCAACTTAAAAGCCCAATACGAACCTTTCGTAAAATTAATTAACTAATTAATTAATCTTGACCATTCATCAATTAAACCATTTAATTGCTTATCCATTTTATTTAATTTCCTCACATACATCCTTACTCGGTGTACGATCCATTAGGTTCCAATTAGCGAGGTAGTGGGCGATTGTTACTCTTAACGATCGATTGTGAATTGAAATCACATTTCAATTCTCCCTTAATGATTAGTGTTTGCTAATCATTTAGGGCTTCCACAAACCATGAGTGACACCTAGCAGTATGTCATGGTTACCCAAGCTAAGTAGAAGTGGTTGGAGAACCTATCCAGTTACAACTACAATGCAATACGGTCCTTCTCTAATACAATACTCTTAATCACATTGTTTGAGTAGTTGGTTTCATGTCTACTATCCAATGTGATACTTATCTATATGATTCCCTTGAATATGATTTGGAACAAACTTCCTAAGTCATATTCATATGCTTTGGCCAAAGACTTTAGAATCATATCTTAGAGTATTCTCCTTCCACCATGGAAGGTTAGAGATCCCTTGTTGTGCATTCATATGCCTACATGACTAGATAGCTTGACCCCAACAATGCCGTGGACACTCCAATGGAATGCCATTTAACATGATCAAAGATCAAGGACCTAACCATTAGACATCTATGATGCCTTAGGTCAAATGACTACTTTGCATATTGCAACTTTCGAGTTCTTACATGACATGTATATTCGAACTCTCTTTTGATCGTTGTTCAGTGTACTCGATTACTCTTTCGAGCACCTATGTGTTTGTCTTAGTGTCCAACACGAAATGACTTGAGACTAGTCATACTCACGCTTGAGTCAACATAACACATACTAACCTTAGCGGATTGTCAATACCCAATTGGCAATCCTATGGTTAGGAACGTTTTAGGAATGAACATAAGAGAATGGTCTCGTTAATCTAACACACTTAGATCACTTGTCTCTTAGATCAAATACATCCCTAGGATTCCCTTATTGCTTAAACACATGATACAATAAATAGTGATTAACAATAAGCTTTGCCCTTCATTAAACATATAAGTATTCCAAAAAGCTATTACATCAAATAAGTGGCTTTGTGGGCATACTTCCAACATCAACAGCACTGCGGCGAGGATGGTTGGTTACCTATCCAAGTCTTGGTCGAGAAGGATTTCAGAATCCTTATTGATTGAGGTCATTTCATTAGCCTTCTCGGTGAAGTGAGGTGTTATAGTTTACTAAGTTCGGCGCATTGCACGCCGAGTTATTTTATGATTGGATACTCTCAAGTGGGATTTAGAGTTCGACATTCAGACGGCCGAACCACGTTCACTATTAAGACTTGTTTATACCATATTTAGGGCCTCGTATTTAGATCTCGTACAAATACTCAGGGGACTTAAATGTAATTATGGGATAAAGGAAGGGGCAAATATGTAATAAGTGAGGAGTCCTTATTCTATAAAAGGACCCCTCACCCTCACAATTGGGGAGGACTCACTCTCACTCTCGGAGGCCAATTCCTAGGCCTGAGATCCCCTCTCTCACCCTCAGAAGCTCTCAGAAGCTCTCACCCTCTCCCTCTCTATTCCCTCAAATAAATACATAATCAGTGTGGACGTAGCCCAAACCTTGGGGTGAACCACGATACATCTTGTGTTATTTACATTTCTGCAGATTCACGGTCGGATTTACGTTGTTCCAAGACCGCCCCGGTTTTGTGCATCAACATTTGGCGCCGTCTGTGGGAATCGACACGAAAAATTACGTCGGTTCTCTTTCAATCTTTCATCACACCACCGTGAAACCTTCACAATCTTCCCCGTGTATCTGCAAAAAGAACCCAGAAAAAACCCATTTCGTTTTCTATTTTCTGGTGAGAGAAAGAAACAGAAAAGATCAAAATCTTAAACAGACACAGAGCCCTCTCTCTCTCTCTGCCTCTGAACTCACGCATTTCCCCACAACCCACCAAAACAAAAACACCAGAAAGATGATTCAGCTACTGTTCATAGTGATTTTATCAGAAATGCTTATGATACTGGCGTTTCTGTTCAAGACCCCCTCCAGGAAGCTAGTGATTTTGGGGCTGGATCAGATCAAGCGGCTGTCGCGGCCCCGTCGTGGAGAAGCACGAGTTAGAACGGTTTAAGAAGCTCAGAGCAGAGGAGGAGCTCAGGCTCAAGCTTTCACCAATCAAGGCGGATGCAGTAAGCTAAGAGAACCGCAGCGAGGGCAGAGAGGTAAGTGTGGAGCTCCGCCTCTTCAACAAATGAGACCCACTCAGACCTCCTGACCCAGCCGACCTCACTCGACTTCGACATCCAACTCTGCTTCTTCGAAATTTTTTCAAATCCGATCCGCAAACACCACCAGCTCTCTAAACTTGGCAAACCATGGTGCTAAAACTTCAATAGTCGTTCGAAGTCCAAGAGGGTGGCTCATTCGATTGAGCAGCAGCAGCAGAAAGTAAAAGCTCGGA